TTTTGCCCTTGCCAACACCTTTGAGCAAGAAACTGACCTCACTATGCTTCGATGAAATCTACGGAGAAACACAGCTAAACAGTGATTGACCTGTGACCAGTAGGGGAAGGATTCTGTTCCCAGTGTGGTCATGCCAGAGTGTGCGGGACTTAGGACGATGATTACTGATTCCTGCGTTTCGAAGCTGCAATTCGCCTACAAGCATCTGATAAATGAGTAAAAATTAACACGTGGTGTAAACCGTGAATTTGAGAAACAAATTGTCTTTTAAAGCAGTTGCATTTGAAAGAATAACAACAAACGGTTATGGACATGTACGACCAGACTGAATGTCAGATTCATCTTGATCTAAGAAGTGTTGATGATCTAAGTCTAGTCGGATCTGATTTCTTTAATTGAAGGTACATACGCGGAACTATCTACGTACTAGACAGCAGAATATCTACTAAACTGATAACTTGGCAAGACGGTGTTTTTTGGTCTGTGCAAATTGGTCGCTTGGACATCATTACATCAACGCGTTAATAATTAATATCTTGAAGACTGAAGATTGAATGTTTGGTCGTGTTGTTGGTGATCTTACTGAAAACAGCACACAAGCAACATGATCAGTGGCAGATTAACAAGCCAACGGTTCTTCAAGGTAATGACGCTGTTCTTTTCATCATGGAGTCAAAGACCGCGTACCCAGATTAACGATGGTTAATGCTGAAGGTAATGAGGGGAGTGAGCCTAGGAAGTATTTCTTATCGCCTATGGTCGGAGCCAGAAGTTTCGACCCGTTCTGTCAGTGAATTACTTTTCTGTCGATGGGGATGATAAAGCTTATCCAGTCCGTGCAGAGTTCATATCCATTGTTACGGTGGACGTTGTTGCATGACTTGATGATAAGTGCCGCCATGACAATTCTATGCAGCCAATAACTTTCTTAGATGACGCCGGTACACTGTGACATTGTGGGCGTATCCTCTCGCGTGCGCCACACAATCTCAGGGATGTTTTCGAATTGTTCCTTGACTTGGCTGGGATGAGGCTTTGTTTTCCTACCATGTTTGGTTGTCACGTGTTTTTCACGCTCGTACGCGGTCATCCATATTTTCCAGCTTGACATATGGCTCTGTTCTCTGCGTGACGGTATTCTCTGTTTCACCAATGTAGTATTTCCCGCAGTTACACGGTAATTTATAAGCCTAGCATAGAGAGTTGTTATTCTTAGAATTACTTAATAATGCATTAGGCTCATTAGAGCCTTAATTTTTTATTTAGTGTTAAGTAATTGTTGCAACTTGTCACTAAAACTTTTATGATGTAGTAGAATTAAATAAGATTTATTAGTTAGAACATTATTGGCGTTACAAGTTGATTTAATATAACGAATTCTATGACTGATCATATCATTAACGAATCTAACTGTTGTTGTTACATAATGCTGTATAATATTCTTTATTTGCTTATTTAATATTTTTTAAGAAATTCATTACTATAGAGTTTCAGGGCTCTCTATTAAACATGTGGACTGGTTTTAATAAGTGTACACTGATTTTGTAGAAATTACCAGAGTTAATTGTTAAAACATGAAACAAAGGTAGACTGGAATTATTTTTTCAATCGTTAAGTAGCTATTTCGAAGAGGCGACTGAGAAATTGTAGTGTATATTTTCCATCAGCATGGGGTAGATGACAGAAATATCTACATATCTTTTGAAAATTGCTGGAAACAGCTGTGCGTTTGTGTCCAGGGCCACATTTTGGAAGTGTTCCATTGGATTTGTGACAAAGATTTGGGGAAAGTGTATTGCCTGTAGATGTTCCTTTAGTTTATTTGAAGAACTTGCCATCAAGAAACAAAAAATTCTTCTCTGCCAAACAGAAAGTTAATAATTTTACAATGGAATTTCATGAGAGATAGTACGTTGTTTAAGTAAATTATCCGCGTGGGAAAGTTTACCGATGTTTTTAATAGTAAAGTAGAGTGAACAAGTCTTACAGCGTCGTATCTTATTCGATAATTGTGTATCTGGTAATGATTAACAGGCAGTAGTAATGCATAAGACCGAAGTTCCGAAAATTCTGACGAAGCTGAAATGCTTATATGCGGCTGTTAACAACGTAGGTAACCCAGTCTTACGACATTCACTGCTCGTTTTGTACTGTTCTGTTTCTTTTATGCCAATAATGAGTCGTTTAATGTCTGGATTATCTTATAGCACCTTTAGAGGTTTCTGTGGGCGGCACTCTCCTATGCTTGTTTGCGTAATAACAGGCTCTCAGGACACTTTGTTTGGTTGCACGTAATGTTAGTTAATTTTTAGAGCAATTAGCGAAATGGTGGTGTATACTGCATTTTGAGGTGTATAAAGCATTCAGTATGTATCTCACAACCGTTGGTAATGAATCACTTCTGTTACTGCCCATTAATTTAATTGTACATACATAATTGCTTTCACAGGATTGACAAGATAATTGGAGGTGGACTGTTTTCTGGCGAGATAACGGAGATTGCAGGACCCCCTGGCAGTGGAAAAACACAGGTGAGGTACTGGTACTAACTTATTATATATTCATTTATGTCATTGAACGATATTAATATATTAATTTTCATTAAGCAAACCTGAGTGTCAATATCACATTGATTTGTTTGTTAGGGAGTATGCATCTTTAGCGGAAAGATTAAGGATCAGGTTGGGATGTAGCTCACTGAAATTTAGACTTAACGCTAGACAACAAGGGTTGCTCAGTAGGTTTTGAGGTCGAATTTACAATCAAATATCATGGGTTCGATCCCAGGATAGAATGAAGGTAAACCGCCTTTCAGCCCTCTGAGGTAGAGAAATGAGTCTCATCATAGTAAGGAAGGAGGAGACCGTATTCAGTGCAGGTTTGCTATAGATATAGCTTTGGAAGAGAAAAGCAAATAGGTGCTCCTGGCTGATGACACAACAACGGAAATTAGTAGCGCGCCACAAGCTCTATTGAAATGTAGTGCTACACATGGTACCCAATGATGGAGGTTTAAAGGAGATGGACATTTCAGAAGTTTCTACCGTTTCTTTATCCTTTACAAATGAAACTGCGTATACAATTCCGGTTTGTATTGAGCGCTGGATTGATTGTTCTCTGGAACTTTATCGTTACTATCAAACTAAGACATAAATGACGAAGGCCATTCAAAGCATTACTATTATCCTTGTCATCATTACTGTACTGTCATATTCACCATAAATATACCTTAGGAAAATGCAATAAACCAGTGATATTCTAAATATTACATTTTCAGATAGCGAAAATTCATAAAATGCGTTAGTTGACCGTTCTCATTGTTCCTCAGAGCGAGATTACGTAGTATATTTGGCCCTTTTGGGCTCAAGGTTTATGACTCATTATTGTTAAGTAGTTTATGATGAAGAACCATATGTTTTGGAGCACTTATTTTTGGTGTTTGTAGTTTTGCCTGACATTCGCTGCCAGCACTGTCATGAAAAGCGGATGTCGAGTGCTTTACGTGGACAGTACAGGCTCGTTCTCATCTTTTCGATTTTCAGAGGTGCTGCTGAGTCGTAGCCCTCAGTTTCAGGAGGAAGTAAGATTTAATTCGTGTTCGACGGATTTTGAGTTTTTTGAAATTGTGTTTTTTTATAGACTCTTCACGAGCATTTGCGAAGAATGTTGGTAGTCACTGTGGCCGACTACCAGCAACTCGCGGAGTTGATCGAAAATCTAACTGAGGTAACCGGTGATTGAAGTCGTAGCTGTGAGAAACAACAACGGTTCTGAACGACAGCTCCTCATTTTATTTATCAGCTGTCTTATTCTCTATAATCGAACCCGTGATAAACGAGCGGGAGAGCGAACAGGATCAGAGTGAAGGGTCGCATGTTAGAGCGTGTTCTTTTCCCGTACCGTTGTTGATGATGGGCTTCCTTTCGTTTAAATATAACTAACTTCTTAAATCGGAATTAAAACATCGATAATATATACATATTATAAACCTTCAGAGGTTAATTATGCATATAAATGTTATTAAACGAAATCCCGATTTTTCGAATCGCGCTGGATCCAGCTTCATTTAGTTACATAACATCCCCTGAAGACGGATAGGGCTCGATCTGAAACATCAGGATTTTGTTTACAGCGTTTGAGGATTTTGACGATGAAGAGTTTGCATCCGCATAAAGAGTTGGAGTAATCCCTGTTTATTCATGTAGCAAACCTTTAACATTTTGAAGTTTTACTTAACAATTTTCCCTAGCCGATACGGTAGCTAAGAATGCCACTCATGAATCCAAAAGGGATTCACCAACAAAGTGAAGGCAGTGGTAGCGAAAATCTGATCGATTTCTTCATTCGTTTGGAGTGAAATTAATTTCAAGAGGGAATCATTCTAAGAAGAAACCTGGACAGAAAGGATTATAATGAAACCATACTTTCTCTGAGGACGGTTACTGGAGTAGTTTACTTTTAAAGCTGCAGAACATCCTTATAATAGAATGCTAAACTGTCTTGACATCACACCACTGTCAACTCCGAGAAAACTGTTCTCCTCTATCATCTAAAAAACGCTGAGGGGGTAGTTGAAAGGAAATATCTCCAAAATCTGACAGGATTCTGGATTAGGTGCTTCTACGTTTTGTAGGATGCTGGCGATTGCATTCAACTCTCGATGCGACTTTCTTTGAACTTTAAAGGTACGTTCGATTAAATACATGGTCTCACAATTTATTGATACACATCGCAATCGGTTTGGTCGATCAGATGATTGATCAGTACAAACATTTTATTTCTTGTCTTTCGAGCCTTCTTCAAGCTAGACTAGTGGATTGGCTTCAAAAGTTCTTTTCGTCGTTCGTAACCTGTTTGTTTTAACATTTGCAAACAGAAAGCCAAAGGAATCGTCGGTATTGTCATTCACCTGACTAACAAAATTGTTTGCGTTGTGTGTTTAAAAAACATGTTTTATACTGCCTTCAGTATGACGCATTGAAGGAAATAACCAGTCTTTAAGAACAGTTCTATTAATAAGGTCGAAGAAGAACGTTTAATGCTGAAATTAGAAGCACGAAATGTCTAGGGAATAAAATCGTTTTCAACAAAGGCATGTTGCGTTCACGAAAAAATTGGCATTATTTTTAATTGTTAAACGGTCAGTTACTTCATGAACTTAATAAAACCACTAAAAAGTAGCATACTGAATGTTAAGAACAATTTCAGTAGTTGTTGGTTGGTCTTGCCATTTGCACATTCATAAATGTTCCTGTTTGAACGACTGGCTGTTTGTTAATTATATTTTTTGAACCTTAATTTTTTAGAACGTTGATGATATTCTATTCAACTTGAAAGCCATAATTGTGGACCACATTGGCACCATCCTGTCGCCGCTATCCTGGAGTTGTTACAAAACAGGTACTAAATAGAAAATTTTGTCCACGAAGAACGTGTTCCCATGATGATCTCCTTAAGTCATTTACTTTTCTTTCTGAGACTAAAGCTAATGATGCTTTTTTGGGAATTGACCTGAGATATGATGGATAGAATAGTCAAGGTATTCGTCTAATCGTTAGAAACAGCAGGAGCTGCACTCTTGCGCTACAAGGTATCGTAATACAAAAGATGTGGTAATTTATTAAATGGTACGTCCGATTTGTAGGAGCATGGGACGATACTGCAACAGCATGTTGACCGGTTATACTGCACTGTGCTTATTGATAAATTTGCAAGTTAATTAATGAACTAACGCTTCAAGGTTACTAGACATAACGAAACAGTCGAAGTTAATCTTTAGGACAGCCAAACTGATTGTTTGCCATGATGTTGGCCAATACAGCTTGGCTAAAACGTCGGCAGTAAACCTACAAGCCGTCGGTATGCCAGTTTACCGAAGAAAAAGACAAAAAATGAAACGTTTTTCAGAAACCACAAGTTAATTCCTATTTATCTAATTACCTGGGTGTTAGGTTAGTGTTAGGTTACTGCCCTAAAACCCCAGTGATATCGTGTGTTGTTAAATGGGTAAATTACGCATGCAGAGCTATGCGTGACACATCGTATTTTCTCAAGACCATGTGGCAGTGATAATGATTAAGATGATGATGTTGATAATTGATGTAAGGTTGAAGATGATGGTGATTATGCTGTTATTGGTGAATATGCTAATGATGATTATGATCTGTCCACCTATTAAGTACTTATGTCTAAAAGAAGGATAACTCTGACTACAGACCTAAAATAAAAGGTTGAGCGTTATTCTGAAAGAGCCTATAATATCCAATCATGCACATACAGCTTGCCCCTCTTTCCTCCGACCACAAAATGACGTCTCTAGTGGCGATGTGTTTTTGATATTTTCACCTTGATCCATTTGCATAAGCAGAATGTCTCTGGTTTGTGATATCCGTTGTTTTTGCAAGTTTTCTACACTTGCTATAAGACGCAGGTTACTGCATAGCAAAAGAAATTATTCCTCTCCAAAGGTGTATTACCCTTTACCTGGTAGCTTTATTTTGCATGATCTCCTGGTCGACTTCTGCTATATTTCGGCTTCCACACGAGAAGCTCATGGGCTGGCGTATTCTTAACAGCTTGTTTAATATGGCTAGCCTGTGCCCAGATGTGACGAGTCATTCCTTACGTGGTGCTGCCATTTAACCCTAAGTATACATCGAAACCAACGTTCAACGGTCTTTCTTGCTCCTTCGTTTGCACAACTGTTTCTGTCGCACAACAACACAGTGACAATGAGCGTGGTTAAGAAACAGAAAACGGGAATTACAATGAATAAAATACTTATCCAATGTTTTGGCACTTTTGAATGCGAAGTTCTGAGCCAGTTGCATCTTTTCTTTTGCCCTTATTGCCGTAAATAGTTTTAGCTTAATCCTTCTGCCGCTGGATTCTGATATAAATAGTGGGAATATGGGCCCTGCCACATTTTTCCGTTCCTGGTTTGTTTTCAGACAGTAAGTGCTGAACAGGGTCCCTCATTACTTCAGAACTGATCTACTGAGATAACTTGTGTGAATGAACACTGTGAGGTTTGTACCTGCGGTATTTCTTGTTTTGAATGCCTACAAGTTGTGAATATGATGCAGCTTGGAACGGGGCTAAAAAATTGATAGCTGCCGCTGTTGCTATATAATATCAACCTGATAGACTGACTTGTTTTTATACCACTGGTTAAATCTGACTTGGTCTTGCTGTCAGTGCAGAACCGTCTCATCAAAAACTACAAGCAACTTTTCAACACACAAAACGCACTCGTTTATACACTCACTAACTTGTAGATAAGCTATATACAGTAAGCCCTGTCTTTTATTACGGCTGTCTGAGAATCCGTGACGAGAAATTGCTAAACTGAGCGGCGAAAAATGTTGCTGCGCGCAGTAGGTACCATTTCAACCGAAACAGACATTAAATATCTGAACAGCTCTGCTCTTCAAGCTTTGTTATAATTTTACAGCGATGAAGATTGTAGAGGCAGAAAAGTAATATGCATGTGTTCTACGACTGTTTCACGTTTAAGGTGTTATTACCAACTGAGCTTAAGCTATACTTTTAACTAATTTTATTGTTGCAGTTTATTTTACAGGACCAAATTCTAATCTCAAAGCCATGTTGCATATATGGGTTTATATAGTTGTAATATAGTATGTAGTAGTGTATTCAAAAACGTACATGATTTCTTTATGCGGGAGATGGTATAATCTCTTGGTAATTGACAGACGCGAAGACAACGCATAAAATATTCTTTAATTAGGAACATCTGACGTTTCGGACCAACTTCAGATGTCCCCAAATAAAGAACATTTTATGCGTTGTTTTCCCGCTTCTGACTTACCAAAAGATTATATAGTAATATAGTCATATTATATATATTAGTTTTGCATGGGTTAATAACTGTGGCATGAATTGAACGGAATACGACCACCAGTATAATAAATCTATTCAATAAAGTATGATGGCTGAAAAGTAAATGATTCTTAGATCTGAAACTCACTGTAGCTGGATGATATGTAGCAAAATAGCCGTC